AGTGTGAGTACAACTCCGGTGGTTGTCTATAGACACAGGGTCTGCATCGAAGCCCCGCAGCTGAGTACAGCAGAATTTGACAGCTTTATAGCCTTTCCCATAGAGACTCGTTGTTACTCTTGGCAGTTTGCCTCTCTGAGCTTTCCCAGATGAGGGGGGGAAGGTTGTTTGTTCCTTCTGGTTTGGGTCTCCAACTTGAACTTCTTGAGGCTTGATTTGTATAATCAGTGTAACGGAGGTCCATTAGAGCTGTAGATTTGGTCATGTAAGGTGCTGAGTTAGATGGGGGACTCAGTGGATGTCTTTGACCAATTTACCCTTACCTTTTCTAGATCTCAGCTGACTGAAATGAGATCTGAGTTCAGTGAAATGAGAATATCAAACCTAATATCAGAGAGGTGTTTTAACGATAAAATCAGTCATATCTATGAGGTACACGAATACTCCGTGGGGAAAAAACAACAGCTTAGGAAGATACTGCTGATGTTGTATTTAGTGTAGTAATTGGGATGTGTATTCTAAATGAAGGCTGAAGTTATACTCTAAGGTATGATTGTTCCTGAATAGGAATATGTATTGAGTAAATGAGTATCACTGTTTGAATTCTGTGACAGCTCATTCTATGTACTGAATGAAAAAGGATCCAGCAGAAATACCTAACTTATCAAGTGATTAGAAATTATATCATGGTGTGTGCAAGCAAATGGGATAAACTAAGGCTGCGGGGACATATTTCATTCCTAATTTTTAAATACTTAGCTTTTCATTGTTAATATTCCTTCAATAAAATTTTATGTTGTATGTAATGATATGTAACTCATTCAGTGCTGACCTTATTCAATACGGAACTACTGTCAGGAGGCTTGTTTGTCGTGTTGGATGCCTAAAAAGTATTTCAAGCTAAACAATTTAAGTAATTGCTATTTGCGGGCCAGGCTGTCTCTGCTAGGGTCTACTCAAGAGTAGAGGAAGGAAGAGTGGCAAGGAACTGGTTATCATTCCCTGATTCTCAAGTTTCTTTAGCTATATTCCTAGCTTATTCTGAAGCACCCCATTGTCTAACTTTTGACACTGTCTGTGACTTCACAAGCTGCAAATTTGTTACTTTATTTCTTTCAACTACTCTGCTCTTTCACTCTATAAGCACTCTTTGTAGCCAGGAAAATGTTAAGTCTTATGGGAGTCAGGTGAATTCTCAGTTTGGGCTAGATTCAGTCTGTTTGCATCAAGAAGAAGAGAAAATCTGTCTTAATCAGTGAACAAGGAAACTGTTCAGACACCAGTAAAATAAAATGGACTAAATAAAACTAAGTAGAGTTGTCTTTTTCCTGAGAGAGATGTCAAGAGTGCTTTACATATCATCATGCAAGAAATATAAGTACTCTGCATTGCCAAAGACGCAGCAAGAAATGTAATCTTTGAAATGTAAAGCACCTAATGAAAACCAAAGCAAAAACTGAAATGCAGTTGAAATCCATCAGTAGGATAAAATGTGTTCTAGAACAGCTTAAAGATATTTAAGTATATAGGATTATAATTTTAAAGCTATACATGTATTTACAAACAAAACTTGTAAATGCCTCAGTTGTGGAACTTGCTGCCTGAGAAGGTACCTTTTTTCTGATATCTTTTGTTTATCTGAAGTTAAAAATATATTCCTTGTTTTGAAACAGATACGTGGTGGGAAGCTGATGATCTCCAATACAAGAAAAAGTGATGCCGGCATGTACACTTGTGTTGGAACCAACATGGTGGGGGAGCGAGACAGTGATCCGGCAGAGCTGACTGTCTTTGGTAAAGCCACTCAAGCTTTTGTTTCCTTTTCACTACAGATGCCATAGACTGAATTGACCTGGGTGACTCATCAAAATATGAGACAAAACAAGGTTAACAAAACACAATAGTACTGCTTAAGCTGCATTTCACAGTTTCTGAAGAAGACCAGGTTTCAAAGGCTGCAGTTTATAATTATGGAGCTGTGATGGCTCAATGTTTTCCTTCTAAGCACATAGTTGCAATCTCATTGGAGGTCCTTAGTGATATGCATACACTCAGAGACAGTAATGCAGGACATAATGCTCTCCCTCACAGAATTGCCATAAATAATTAAGCTACTTCTAATACAGTTGACAATGCCTGCTTAACCGAGATTTGGACCGGCATTGCCTATTTAAATAATACCTTATTCCTGTGGGGTTGTGAAATCAAACCTTTGTAGGAGAGCACAAAAGAGCTCAACTGATCAGTAAAAAGTCATTGGAGAAAATCCCGAGATCAACTTTTTGAATATACAGAGATACTTTTGCAACTTTTTTTTTTTTTTAAAGGGCATGAAACAGCTTATCCTGTCAGCCAGGGCATCATTTAGGTTTTTGGTGTTGCTGAATGAGTCAAAAATGAATAGGTTTCCTGTGTGAAAGAGCTTCCAGACCTGATAGGCAAGGCAAGAAGTTGTTAGGAACATTTGCCCTATGGTTAGGGTCTAGAGCAAGAACAGAATAATACTGAACCTAGAGCTGGATCCATCCTGCTAACAACTGGATAAGAAGCAAAGCTGCAAAATCCTGCTGTGGTACATCCTGCAGTCATGACATTTCCATTTACCATTAGCTGTGGTTTTATAGGAATTAGTCAAGAGGTCTTGAGCAAACAAAAGAAAATCAATAAGGAATAAACCCCTCACTGCTAAAGAAAACACATACATGCATACAAAAGAGAAAGAGAAATAGTGTTAGCGTTCCCTCCTGCTATACCTCGTTAATATCCTTGATACAATATCAAAATTCCAAACAAGACTGCTTGTAATTCCAGTAAGACTTTTCATAGAAATCCTAAGGTCCTTTCTGAAGCAGGTGCTCCTAAGTTTTTCATCTTCTGCCTAATATGGTGGCACTGGAAACCCCAGTCACACATATTGCCATCTGTGTTTGCATGTATGTACAATTCAACATTTCTTTGTCCACTTTAAAAAATGTATTATGGGATTCACAAAAGACATAGAAAAGTTTCTTCTAGACAAGATCCATCAGTGACTGAAGATTTGCTGCTTTCCAGCATTACAAGACTGTAAAGGCTTCTGCTCCACTCAGTTTGTTGTGGATTCATGGAAGCATATGGCTTTGAAAGACAGAACTAGTACACTTTGCAAAAAAAACCACAGAAAGGATCTCTATCAAATTATTATGTCCTTTGCAGCCAATCTATTGAAGTTGTGCCTTTATACAGATGTAAAAGAGACATGACATATCTTCTTCATCAGTTTAAGTACCGATAATCTCTGGTAATACTCCCTGTGGAGAGCAAGCAGATTGCAGTCCTAAACTACAAAGCCTTAAGAAATCCTTAAGAAAATAATTTGTTAAAAAGCATTGAACTGTAGGAATAAAAACTGAAATATGCATGTAATTTCATATCCTGCAGAGCTACGAAAAGTATTAGGTTTATCTTGATATGTAAAATATTACATAGCCAATTACAATATTCTGATTTTTTTTACAGGATTTAATCATAGCAATCAACTCGTAAAATATAATCTAAGCCTATTTTGTCAATACTGAACAAAATCAGCAATAAATGAAATTAGATATTTTAATTCTTTATAATTGTGTTAGACTACCTAAAGAACATTGTATTTAAAATTTCTTTCCTATCTGGGTATCTTCCTATCTAAAATTCCCCTTCTATCTAGGTATTCCCTTCCTATCTTCCTTTTTGCTATACAAGAACAGCATGCAGGAAGGAGGTGCTCAGGTTATGATCTGCTGTTTGACAAGACAATTCGACTACCCTGTGCCCCTTTCCTGGCTGCCGCCTGGCCCTGAAGCTCTGCGTTGGTGTATTGGGCTCACTGTGTAGACGTGTCCGGGTTAATCCTGGTCTGCTCCGTACAAAAGAAGGTGGCTTGGCTTTGCCTTCCACCAGCAGAGCAGTTGTATTCCATTCCTGGACTCCCGGCAGCAGCTCGTGTGTGGGTGGGTGCGTGCACCGTGCACTGGAGAGCATTATCCATGATGTTTCCAGGAAGCAATGTATCTACTGGACAGTCCAATCAGTCTAAGCATACACAATAAATCCAGTAACTCCAGCAACTCTGGGAAACATCAGATTGGCTGTGCATGTTCAGATTGACTTTACTGAACAGAGGCAAAACCACAGGTCTTCTGTTAAGTCCACAGCCTTCCTCTAATACGACTCACAAGTTTGAGGAACATGGAAATAGTGCAAATGTTGAGAAAAATATGCTTAAAATATAATAATACTTATATATTATTCACGTGCCCAACTTTAACTGTTTTCAACATATTTGCAAATGGGCTTTCTAATTAAAATGAAGATATCTTAGCTAAGAGACTTAGAGAATTTAATAAAGTGGCTGGCAAGCCTACAGCTGGTGCTGATTCTGGAGACGAATGTGTATTAATTAGCTGATTATTAATGTCTCTATTCCTTTTCCAAATAACAAACTCGCAAACCCTTTCCATAGTGTGAAGGGGGCCTTAGTAAACACACTACTCTGTAGGAAAAGGAACTGTTTCATACTAGTTCTCAAACCTTTCCAGGAATCAGCCACTTGTTACTTTTGGCTTTGCAAGTTTTTCTGTAATACCTGAAGTTAATTTCTGCATGTGATTCGTGACAGATCTCTGGCTCCCTGTACAGTAAATTTAGCTTGAGGCATTGCCTCTGGAAAACCTGAGTCAATCTGGTGCTAACTGGTGGCCTGAGGGGAACAGCATGGAAGCCTAGTCTAAAAGATTACACCTTTCCTGACTTTAAAAAAAAAAATAAAATGCACAATAAGAACCTTGGAGAGAAGTAGGAGGAGAAAGTGAAAGTTTCCCGTATGCAGAATGTATCCACTTGGCTGGGTACCTGTTCAGTAACCTTTACTGAGAGATAGTTGTGGATAATACATGCAAAACTTTCACAAAACAAGTATTTTTTTTTCAGCCCCTCCTGCATAGGAAACCTAGTTTTCAACATTTAGACACTGCTAACAGCATACTGTTAGGGTTGGTGCAGATTGCATTTCTTTTGTTCCCAAGTCATGATTCTTCTACTAGCAGAAAATTGCCAGACTTTCACAGTAAAATATCATAAAGCAAACTGATTATATAAGCAGTGCTTCCCAAAATTATTCCTGTGTTTTGAATAGTGACAAGGATAGTTACTAACGTTTTGTTAGTCTTCTCATTCAAGGACTACTGCTAGTTTTTGCCTTTATGAGGCTCCCAGGTGTAATCTTGGAATAAAGCAAGAAGGTAGGGTCTGTCACAGAGCCTAAGTTGGCCTTTAAAGAAAGTTAATAACTAATCCATCAATCCTAACATTCACAAAAAGAGGCAGCATCGTACTTTATTATTATGGACGCACTATTCTAAAGGCCAAATTCAGAAGTGTAAGTGATACAAATTAGGCTGCTTTGCTTGTGTTTGGGTTCACAGCCTTTGGTTGAACAGACTTAAAGCAAGATGCAAACCAGAAACAGTTTCATTCCAATTTATAAGAAAGCTTGGTTTGTAAATACATAATATGGAGCCAGAAATTAAATAAAGAATTAGTGTTTAAGTTAACCTTCTATCATTTTGTCATACTACTGCACTGTTCTCAGATAAGTTTTCAAGTTGTTTTAACTATTTCAGACTCTTTTTTGTTCCTTTGGACTTAAAATGGTATGTTTGAAGAGAATGTACAAAGGTATATCTTGTATATTGATTCTGAAGCTCAGTGAAATCAATGAAAGCCTTAATATATCAACTTCAAGAGGCTGGCATCACGCAGTGGAAAAAGATATATTTAGAAAAGCCTCAGAAGAATATAAAGCATAACTAAGAAGAGTACAAAAATGTCTTAAAAGATATGTCAATTCAGACATACTAAAGATTGTTTTGGATTAATCTTTGATTTTAGCTTTGGTACCTGAGCCTTTTTTCAGCTAATAAGGTCCTGTGGGATGAAGAGGTATTTTTGTCTGATGCTTGAAGAAGTATTTGTATTTGATGTTCTCTAGACATTGTCAGGCTGAAAGAGATACCACAGTTCCAGAAAGAGTATGCTACGATGACATGATGTTAGAAGAAAAAAATAAGAAAAAAACCTTAATGAAGACATTGTGCCCCATTTTACTTTCCTGAGCTCTGACTGTGTGGAAGGCCTTAGCAGAGAGTCTTGTCCCATCATATCCAGGAAATTAGTCCCAGAAGCTTTCCCAGCCACAGGGAAAACCTACCAAAATCGGGTATATATTCACAGTTTAAGACATAGAAATTGTCAGTATGTATTTTGTCCTTCAGAGCAAAGCTCCTCCAGTTTTTCTTCAAATCCTTTTATTTCCCACTTGCAGCGTACTTGTGGCAGTTTGCAAAGAGCCAGTTTGGCTTTGCAATATTTGTTATCCACAGATACTGACAAGTTGTAACAGGGTAATGATACTGCTGTGAAAAAGGATCTCATTTGGTCTCCAAAGTCCATACCTAATGCTCAGTAAAAACTGAAATTAATATGGTTGTAGATGTATATAAAAGAGAAAAATCCTAACAATTGATAAAAATCATTCTACTTTATTGGCACATGCCTCTTAACAGTGCTCCGTGCCTTTACTGTGCAAGCTCATCGCATCTTGGGTATTGCTTAGAGTATAGAAGTTTGCAATGTCTACACAAGTGCTTATTTCTCAAATGCAAAATGGAAAAGTGCCTAAAAAGAGGTGGTAGAAGAATGTCTTTAAATATAAAACCATCTGCTTTTGCAATTGTATTTTCATTTATTTGGCCAACATAGGTAAATCTAGTGTG